TTACTCCTTGAAATAGCAATTATTTAATAATTCCAGTGGCATCTATTATATCACATTGTACAACTGCCTTTGCCTGGTGTCAGAGCATTGTGCTAAAGCGTACATCACCATTGTCTCCCTGGAGCTTTTAGCAAATCCATGAGCTTTGTCAGTGGAATGCCAACTCTGCAGATTTTATGTAAGTGGAATCATATGTGTGATCTTTTGTGTGTGGACTCTTTCATCTTATTTTTCAAAATTTTTAAATTTTTAAAATATTTTGCTTCTTTCATATTATTATAATGTTTGGCGGTTCATCCATATTCCAGCAAGGATTGGTATTCTTTTTTCATGGCTGAATCGTATTTCATTGTGTCAAACTATTCGTTCAGCTGCTGATAAACAATGGTTGTTTTCCGCTTTGGGTGGAAGTAAGCATTTTCAAATGACTTTTCATGTGGAAACATGTTTTTATTTCTCTTAGCTATTTACCTGGAAGTAGAATTTTTGGATTATATGGTAACTCACTATTTAACTTTTGGGGCACTTTTGGTTGTTTTCCAAAGTGGCTACCCCACAGTACATTATTACCATCAGTCTATAAGAGATCTAATTTCCCTACATCCACAACACTTGCCAATAGCTAGCTTTGATTACAGCTACCCTAGTGGGTGTGAAATGGTTTCATTGTATGTTGTTAATTTTTCTGTTTGTTTTAAAGTCAGGCCATCTCTGTACATAGTTTTAAGAAACAAGTGTAAATGCTCCATTCCTTTCTACTCACATTTCCATGAGGCAAATACTTTAAATTCTTAGTGGCTTTCTCTGGCATTTATCTGGTATTTCTGGTAACATGCTTATACTGCTATTTTAGAATCAGTTTTAGATATTATCTCTTGACTTCCAACTATGGAAGATGAACATTTAGTTCTCTTGTCTGCTCCCTCATGCATCCAAATACACACTCATTTTATCCTCCTATCGTCACAATATGATTATAACTCCATTTTGATCAAATCAGTAATTAGCATTTGCATTGTTATGACTATGCATTTATAGCCTCATGATGTGCAAAGATTATATTTACTCAATCATCCTCTCCCCCTTTGATTCCAGATGGCCTAAAGAGAAAAATTTGCTTCATTTTTTTTCAATTTCTGTGGTTTTCTTTTTTCTTTTTTTTTTTTAAAGTGTGTTTCTTTCTTCTTCTTCTTTTTTTCCCCCTAAACTTTAAAAGGCAGATGCACAGACAGAGAGATAGAAAGAGATCTTCCATCCACTGGTTCATTTTCCAAATGACCACTGAAGTTAGGGCTGGGCCAGGCCAAAGCCAGGAGCTAGGAACTCCATCCGTGTCTCTTACATGGGTGCCAGGGCCCAGTGACCTGGGTCATCCAGCCCTGCTTTCCCAGGGAAATCAGCAGGGCGATAGATCTGAGGTGGAGCAGTGGAGACTCAAGCTGGCATTCATGTGAAATACAGGTGTTGCAGGAGACAGTTAACCCAAGGTATACAACATCAGTCCCCTGCTGTTTTCCATATAGCAATTACTAAATTCATCTTTGAATTTTGAAAAAAAAATTTGTTACCCTCTAGAAAATTCCAAATATACTAGATATTCCATATTTCAAATATATTGGATTTTCTCTCATTTGGCATGTAAGCAGATCTCAGTATATGTAGAATGAATGAATGAAAATATCTAACCACAGAACCAAAAATCTAGAGTCCCAAGGAACCTTAGAGATTACTTCCTGTTTCAACCTTTCCCACTTCATAGCCTAAATGTAATGAGTTCATTTTGTTTATTATTTATTAAAAATATTTTTAAGGAGCCAGCACAGGGGTATAGTGGGTTGGCCTGCAGTCTTCAATATACCATATGGGCCTACCAGTTGGATTCCCAGATGCTCTACTTCCAATCCAGCTCCTTGCTAATGTCCCTGGATGTCAGTGGAAGATGGTCCAAGTGCTTAGCCCTTACACCAATGTGAGGACCTGGACTGAGCTCTTGGCTACTGGCTTTGGCCTGGCCAACTCTGGCTATTGTGGCCATTTGGGGAGTGACCCAGTGGATGGACATTCCTCCTCTCTGACTGTAACTTGGCTTTTCAAATAAAGCAAATCTTTTTTAAAAAAGATTTATTTGTTTTTATTGGAAAGGGAGATACACAGAGAGGAGGAGATATAGAGAGGATGATCTTCCATCTGCTGATTCACTCCCCAAGTCACCACAATGGCCAGAGTTGATCCCATCCAAAGCCAGAGGCCAGGAGCTCTTCTGGGTCTCTCCCACACGGGTGCAGGGTCCTAAGTCTTGGGACATCTTTGATTGCTTTCCCCAGCCACAGGCAGGGAGCAGGATGGGAAGTGGGGCCTACCAGGATATGAACCGGCACCCATATGGGACCCTGGCACATGCAAGGCAAGGGCTGTAGCCACTAGGCTATCACACTGGATGCAAAACAGATCTTTTTAAAAATTAAAAAAATATATATTTAAAATTTTTTGTTTCGTTTTAAAGGGAGAGACACAGAGAGAAAGAGACTTTGCACCTACTGAGCCAATCCCTAATGACCAATTAAAAGTCAGGGCTGGGCCAGGCTGAACCGAGGAGCTTGGATGTCCATCTGGATGTCCCACTTGGCAGACTCCAGTACTTGGGCCATCAGCTGCTTCCCAGGTGCACATTATGAGGAAGCTGGAATAGGACAGGGAACTGGGCCTTGAACCCAGGCCCTCTGCTATGGGACATGGCCATCTTAAACAGCATTGTAATGGCTGCTCCTAAGGCATTTTGGAAATGAGAAGTTGCCTGACCAAAGTGACAGCAGGTTTTCAGGAGCAAGGACTGGAATTCCAACCTGCTCAGTCTCAGACGCCTCTTCTCTGTTGGGGTGCTTCCACAATGTCCCTTGTCCTGAATGGTGTGTGGACTTCATCCTTTCAATATCTTCAGTTTTCTTAAGCTCAATACTCAATTGCAAGTCTTAAGAATTCATGTGGAAGGGCACAAAACAGTATCTTTACAAAATGCAGAAATCGGGCCCAGCGCGGTGGCGCAAGTGGTTAAGGTCCTCACCTTGCACGCCCGGGATCCCATATGGGCGCCAGTTCTATCCCAGCAGCCCCGCTTCCCATCCAGCTCCCTGCCTGTGGCCTGGGAAAGCAGTCGAGGACGGCCCAAAGCTTTGGGAACCTGCACCCGCGTGGGAGACCTGGAAGAGGCTCCTGGCTTCAGACCGGCATAGCATCGGCTGTTGTGCTCACTTGGGGAGTGAATCATCGGACGGAAGATCTTCCTCTCTGTCTCTCCTCTCTGTATATCTGCCTTTCCAATAAGAAAATAATAAAAATAAATCTTTAAAAAAATAAAAGAAAAAATGCAGAAATAACCTTTTAGTCAGGATCTAAGAAGTCATCCTTTACCATGAAGTTTCTCTGAGAATCAGGCTACTAATTCCACTGTCCTTATTTCCAAAGCTGTGTGCAACCTCACCTAGGCCAAGGCCCAAGCAGTGCGTTTGCTCAGGGCTTCTGTGGAGGACATGCATTGCTTTGTCTGATCAACATCCACTTTGTCATCTTCTGGTTCTTATTTGACATCCAGTGATGGGGACGTGCATTGCCAGGGACTGCTCCATGGAGAGCAGAGCTGGCAGGGAGAGCCCAGTGAGCAGGCCTCAAGGACATGGTTTAATGTCTGCATCTGCTACACCTCACTTCCCAGTTAGGTGCACTGTATACATCCCTGCCCTGTGAAGGCCCCTCTGGTTCTTACAACCAAAAGAACTGGTAACTGACTCGGGCCTGGAAGTGAGAGGTTGAACTCCTTCTGTGTGCCCATTCAAGTCTTGCAGGTTCGCTCGCAGACTCTGCAGGCTCCTGTTAGCCAGGGAATATCTTATGTCACTTCAGGATTTGGAACAGTTTTAGTCTAATAAGGAATTTCTTTAATTTGAGGCTCCTGTGTTTATTGACAAAATAAAACAGAACTTAGAAGTAACAAAAACCGGACTCCAGCTAGCATGTTTTCTAATATAAGCAAGACACATCACACCTTGAAAGCTGTTACCAGGATGTTAATTTCATGCTGTGGAAGCATTTCTTGCATTTATGTATTTTTCACAGCATATCTGTATCCATCAGATCCCTTCAGGCTTACTTCTCAACATCAAAACAAACCAAAACATTTTTATAAACAATAAATCAATTTCAAAAATATATAAAAATCCTAAAATTTGTGTTCTTCCTCAACTAGTTTCCTGTCCCTGAAGCTTACTTAGTTTTCCAGTGTTCTTCTAACAAGAAGACAACCATTTGCATTCCCCTAGCTGCAGGGGGGATCAGGAACCTTTTATCAAGCTGGTTTCTCTTTTCATTCTGACTGGAGTTGTTAGCTGTGACTGGTCCACTTCACACATCTATCCTTCCAAGAGGTCCTCAGCATAGAACATCCGTGTGGAGCTTGCACGCCTCACTGTGAGCCCCTAACCCTAGTTTCTTACAGGCAGAGTGACCCTGAGCAGGTTCCTTCATTGGCCACATAAGGCCAGTGACAGTGCCTGCCCCATGTAACTGCTGAGGAATTACATGCAGTAAGTGTTAGCACTAGTATCAGCTGGCTGAAAGAATGACCTCTGTTAACTAGAGCTTCCAGGGAGACTTGCTTACTGTCCAGACTGCAAGCCCGGGAGGGCAGGCACGTCCCCTTGTTCAGCACCTAGTCCACGACAGATGTGTCATGTGTTCAAAAGGAGTTATTCAGTTATATAGAGAATACAGCTGTAATTTTGCTGAGAATATGATTTTTCTTATCGATGAGGAAACATAGGCCTAGAGAGGCTGAGTGGCTTGTGCAGATTCTCACCATGAGTTACAGAGGATTAAGATACAATTCTCCTGCCTGGTTGTGTTGCTCATCTACTATAATGCTTCCTAAGCCCTTAGTTCATTACCAGAATTTCAGGTGTAGCAATTTGGTTACCAAAAAATAAGGATTCTTAAACTTTAAAACCTACCGTGGTATCGACAGCCTTGACGTGCTCGGTGGGAATGTGCTTTGGGACGGGCTCCGTCTGCGACAGCATCACACATCCCTTAGCCCCTAGGGTGATGACTACCACCTGGCAGCCCCGCTCCAGGAGTATGGAGGCGGCCTTGCCGGCATCTGCAGGGCTGCCCACTGGAAGGCCAGTTAGAATTTCAGCCTGGAATACACAAAAGTGAAAAAGTAACCCAAATCTACAAGTCACATTTGTTTTTATAGAAATTTTTTTTTTTTTCATTTGTGGGGGAAGGGAGAAAGGGTAACAAGTATAATGGGATCCTTGATGGACACCATAGATACTGGTATGAAAAAATGAGTAAAAAAATAAGTAGAATAACAAAGATATCCAGAAAGAGCATCTCAGAGGCTGGTGGTGTGGCACACAGACTATGCTGCACCTGTGATGCTGGCATCACACTGAAGGCAACCAGCTGGAATTTTGGCTGCACCATTTCTGATCCAGCTCCTTGTTCAAGGCCGCGGGAAGGCAACCCAGTACTGGGTCATGTATTTCATGTGGGAGACAAAGATGGAGTTGCAGGCTCATGACTTTGGCTGGGCCTAGTCCTCATCATTGAGCTCATTTGGAGAGTGAACCAGCAGATGGAAGTTTCTCTCTCTCTGTATATATACCTTTAAAATAAGCAAAACAGTTTCTAAAGATTTATTTTTTTATTATTTTTTTATTGGAAAGGCGGATATACAGAGAGGAGAGACAGAGAGGAAGATCTTCCGTCCGATGATTCACTCCCCAAGTGAGCACAACGGCCGATGCTATGCCGATCAGAAGCCAGGAGTCTCTTCCGGGTCTCCCACGAGGGTGCAGGGTCCCAAAGCTTTGGGCCGTCCTCAACTGCTTTCCCGGGCCACAGGCAGGGAGCTGGAAGGGAAGCGGGGCTGCCGGGACAGAACCGGCACCCATATGGGATCCCGGGCGTGCAAGGTGAGGACCTTAACCACTTGCGCCACCGCGCTGGGCCCGCAAAACAGTTTTTAAAACTAGGAGGGATTTGATAATGGTCTGGATATTAGTATGGAATTATCCATTTTTTGGGGATAATTTTCTTAGGTGTGGTTCTTTTTATAAAATACATGCTGATGTATTAAGAGGTGAGGGATCAGATCTGTAAGTAACTATCAACAAAAACAAAATATTTACTCCCTTAAAAAAAGATTTATTTTATTTATTTGAAAGAGACAGGGGAGATAGAGAAATTAATCTTCCATCTCTTAGTTCACTCCTCAACTGGCCACATGGTTAGGACTGTGCCAGCCAGAAGCCCTCAGCCTCTTCTGGGTCTCCTACGTGAGAGCAGGACCCAAGGACCTGGGGTATCCTCTGCTGCTCTTCTCAGGTGCAGCAACAGGGATCAGAAGTGGAACAGCCGGGACAGGAACCAGCACCCATAATAAGGTGCTGGTGTTACAGGTGGTAGCTTCATGTGTCACACCAAAATGCCAGTCCCTTTACTTGTTTTTAAATAAAATAAGAATAAATACGTACATGGGAGGACAGAAGCAAATAGGGCAAAATGCTCACTGTTCAAGTGGAAGGTAGGATTACTATACTATTCTTTCAGCTGTTCTGCCTGTATGATGATTTTCATAATAAACAGTTTGGGGTTCAGTGAGAAGTCTGTCAAGGCAGGAAAGGAAGCTGGGGAGGAAGGAAAGGAGAAAGGAAAGGGCCACTGCAATGACTCTGGTGTGAATTAGGCCACCTGTGCGTGCGGCTCTCGCAGGCCTTGCTTGGAGCATGCTGCCCCTCTCTTCGTGCTGGTTGTAACTGTGCATGTTTGTAGACCATATATTTCTGTTGTGTAGTTGTTTCTGCCAGGGAAGTTTGAAGCAGGGTAGGGGAGGCACTCTGGCCAAAAAAGCAATGGCCCGGCAAACAGGACACTTGTGCTACTCAAATTGATGACTCCCCAAATCATTAAACCCTAGAAAATGCGGGGCTGGGAGAGAATCAGTGCCTCTTCACCAGATTATAAAATGCTTTTTGGTAGAAGGGATGAGGGGCTTCAGGCTCCCTAGGACCTCCCTAGAGTCTCTGGGAAAACTATGGTTCTGAAGTAGTTTTTTTTTAAATCACTGAACTCCATGAATTATATGAAATTACTTTTAAAAAATATATTTGAAGAGACAATCAGTGGGAGAAGAAAGGAAACTCCCATTCCATCAGTTCACTCTCTAAATGCATGTAACAGTTGGGACTGTGTCAGGCCAAAGCCAAGAACTAGAAACTCAATCCAGGCCTCTGAGATGCTGCTTCCTAGAGTGTATGTCTGCCGGAAGCAGGAACCTGTAGACTCCAACAGGCATCTCACATTGTGACTTGCCCAATGCACTGAATGCCCACCCCTATGTGATAATTAATGACTAAAAAGTATATAACTGGGGCCTGGGGCATAGCCTAGTAGCTAAGGCCCTTGCCTTACATATGCCAGAATCCCATGTGGGTTCAGTGAGCCACATGTTGTAAACCCAGCAGCCCCACTTCCCATTCAGCTCCCTGCTTGTGGCTTGGGAAAGCAGTCGAGGATGACCCAGAGCCTTGGGACCCTGCACCTGCATGGGAGACCTGGAAGAGGCACCAGGCTCCTGACTTCAGATTGGCTCAGCTCCAACCATTGTGGCTGCTTGGGGAGTGAACCAGCGGGCGGAAAATCTTTCTGTCTCTACTCTTTTGCATATCTGCCTTTCCAATAAAAAGAAACAAATCTTTTAAGAAAGTGTGTAACCAAATTCTGTCTTCTCCGTTTTATAGCATAACCCTATGCTCTTTCTTCCTGAGAATGCCTCCCTTATGTTTACTCTGAACACGCCCAAAGTCATCCCCCAGTGCCTGCTCATTCTAGACTTCCATTTTCTCTGTTGCATAGGTTCCTGAACTTGACTTTGTGCACAGACCCTTTCTGAGTTGCTTTTACTGTGAGTACACTATCTAAAATAAATTTTGCATTGATCTTTGTTACTGGGACCACTTATGTCTGTTGATTTGAATGGCTCATTTCAGAAACACTGACATGTCTCCTTAACACCTCTTATTAAGTTATTCTTCAATGACAGAATCTTTAAAATAACAGATAATGCTACAAATATCCATGTGCCCACAGTCCATCTTTAATAGGGTTTCATATTTCACTTCAGTTGCTTTAGATACCTTTTAAAAAATTTGTTTAAAGATTTAATTATTTTTATTGGAAAGGCAGGTTTACAGAGAGGAGAGATACAATAGATTTTCTGTTGTCCTCAAGTGGCCACAACTGTTAGAGCTGAGCCCATCTGAAGACAGGAGCCAGGAGTTTCTTCCAGGTCTCCCAATGGGTACAGGGTCCCAAGCCCTTGGGCCACCTCGACTGCTTTCCCAGGCTACAAGCAGGGAGCTGGATGGGAAGTGGAGCTGCCAGGATATAATCAGTGCCCATATGGGATTCCGGCGAATGCAAGAAAGCCAACAAGCTACTGCGCTGGGCCTTGTCCATTAAGTTTTTGAGATCAATTTCCTTCAAGATAAGAGTTCATTTACTTAATAAGAATTTACTATGGCCAGAGTGTGCAGGACACAGTGTGGGCTGCAGAGAGGGTGAGAAGGAGGGAGGGCAGGCCGAGTGATCAAAAAAATTATTTACTATGTGCCAAGTTTGTGCATGTACCCTGTAGAAGTGTTATATACTAGTAATAACTGTATTAATATATATGAATTTTAATAGATAATTATCATATGATATTCATATAACATTGTACACAGTTTATAGATTATAGGTATTAATATATTTTATAATATAATATGATTAGTTACTATATTGTCATAGTAATTATAATTATATATTATCATACATACATTATATATATCATACTTTCCATTTTTATATCATGATAATGGCAATATGCACAGATGTTGGTGCCAGAGTGGACCTTCCTGCATTAGCTGATGGAATGGGGTGAGGGCTAGCATTAGGCCCAGCAGTGAATATCCTTGTTTCCTGCGCAGAGTGGCTGTGTGGGTCTCCTGTCTCTGGCTTCTGACTCCAGGCTCTTGTTAACATGAAAGCTAGGAGGCAATGGTGACAGTCCAAGAAACTTAGTTCCTGCCATCCAGGTGGATCTTGACTGAGGCTCTGGCTCCTGGTCTGGACCTTGGCACAGCCTCAGCAATGGCAGGCATTTGAGAAGTAAGCCAGGGGATGGGAGCTGCTCCCTACTTTCTCTCTCTCTCTCTCTCTCTCTCACACACACACACAGAAGAACGAGGCAGAAAGAATGTTGTATAACTTAGAAAGACGCAAAGCAAAGTCTTATTAGCCAGCAAGGCTTCTGCCTGCGAGTGTCTCTTGCACGAGGCTGATTTCAGAACCCAGCTGTAAGGCACTGTGAGAAAATCCAGGCCACCAGGAGAGGCTAGTGGTGAGTGTCCTGGCCAACAGTCCCTTTATGCCCCAGGGAACAACCAGCACCCACTACTGCAAGTGTGAATTAAGGAGGCTTCAAATGATCCCAGCCCTTTGTCTTTTTGAGGTTTTCCCAAAGAAGGTCCCAAGCATTATGAAGCAGGGACAATCCATGCTGTGTCCTGTCTGAATTCCTGAAGCACAGAAATGATTAAAATAACGACAAGTCATAATTTTCACGGTCCAGTACATTTGGGTGCAGTCTAGCACACATCAACAGACAAGTACATACACAGGGAAAGTGGCTGGGGATGGACGATAAGACAAGATGCCCTTGCCTTCACAGAATGTGGAATTTAATGGAGAAGACAGAAGAAATGAGTAAGAAATGTGAAGGTAATGAGTGTTTCAGGACAAATAAGTAAACAGCAGGGAAAGCTAAGCCAATGAGGCAGCTGAGGTTAATCTAGCCTCTTGTGAAATGCTCACTGTGTCCCACAAATCCTTGTTCCTAGCACAGGGCCTGCTCATGGTGGCTGTTCAGCAATCCTGGATAACCTATTGTGTCTTGTTAAAACTAGTTTCCTTGTCACTGTCTTTTTGCATCCTCTATGTTTTGAGAGATGAAGTTCTCAAATACAGATGTCATGAAGTTCTGGAAGCTTTTATTCAGCCTTTGAACCACATGGAAAAGAAACCATTACAGTTCATGAATTACCTTCTCTCTGCATGCTGCATTCGCCAGTGTGGATAACACATCCTATATCCCCTCAATCGGAAAGAGTTTTGATCTAATGATCAAAGACCGTGAAAAGGGAAAATTATTGAAATTTACTTCCTAGAAGATTGAAGACTGACTGGCTCAGTGTTCATACACTGGAGACGCCGTGTGGGACAAGGTGGCCCTTGTGGCCCTCAGGTGGACTGAGGTTGCACGCCTCTTGGGACAGCCCATAGGTCTCCTCCAAGCTGTCAGTGAGGAACGAAGTTGGGCCATCATGGGGTCTGCACAGCGGCAGGTAGCAGATGCTCATTAGAGATGCCAGATAAAATATGTGGAGCTCAGGCACATGTGAATTTCAACCAGTTTCACAGTAAAGGTATCTTGGGATGCTACGGTCTATCTGAAATGCAAATGTAATAAAGCATCCTGTATTTTTATTTGCTGCAATTGGCAACTCTGATAGTAATTAGTCTGCAGGAAATGGAATAATTAGAAAATAAAGTACCAACAGTGTGAGGGCAGAGAAGGGACTAAAGTCAACTAAAGCTTGGTATGTGTCAGATGATGGGAGTGGCTCAGAATCCTATTCTCTGCCAGGATTTACTAATTTCCTTTTCTGTATATCCCAGTAAAGCAAAAATGCAGTTTTCACTGAGCCCAAAAATTCACACATGATCAAATGATGTGGTTAATTGTGTCTCTCTGCTTTATCCACTGGCATTCAAGTCCTTTGCTTTCTCATAGAATGACTCAAAGAATCTGTCCTTACCTCGCTTTCATTGCAGCAGAACACACTGGAGAGGGTGTAGAAGCGGGGATCCAGGTCAGCAATGGCAGGGGCTGGATTGAACAGTGTTTTCACTGTGGGAGAACGGGAAAGCCAGTCAGTGGTTGTCGTGTGCAGCACTCAGCAAGGAAAATCTCCAGGCTCAACCATTTTGGTACTGCTTAAATGTGGAAAAGTCTCAGGTCTCCATTTCCATGAAAACTTGATACCAATTCCTTCTTATGTTCATTTTCTTTACAGTCCACTTTATGACATTTTAGCTTCAAGAGCAAGCATCAATATTTACAATGTGTGATTATCTATCTAAGGCAACAACAAGGATATTAAGAAGTAAAAACTTAGTCTTAGAAATTACTTAACAGGAAGTTCTTTGTTAAAACATGTATTCACCAGTGTACTCAAAAATATAGGTTCATCTTCTTTTTTTCTTAATTAAGGCCACTAACTTGTGTGTCCCATCCCTCTTAACTACAGATCTATAGAGTGAAATCCTCTAGCTGCAGTTCTCAGAGACTCTTCTAGAACATTGGTTCACAAACTGGCTGCAAATCAACATCACTAGGAGAGCTTGTAAAAATGCATGACTCCTGCACTGCCTCTCAATCTGCTCAATCAGAGGGGTTCTGGAGAGTATGATCAAGGACTCTGAGCATTTGCAAGTCTTCCTGGCTCCAATCCACTCTCCATTCTCATGAGATCCTGACCAGCATGTGGCTAATGGAAACCATCTGCCACTTTGGGCTGGGGAGTCTCCCTGGTCTACTTCTGTAGCCTCTTCGGGCTTAAGATTGTGGTTCAGTCAGTGAGTCTTGTCCAGTAAGGTCTATCGCTATCTCCACATTTTTGTGATTTAAAATCAAGAAGGTTCACCCACAGAAAATCTATGGACTATCTTTGACTGCTTAGATTTTTGTACAGGTCCTTGTGCAGCTTGAAGTAGAAAGTGGACATCAAAACCCTGTATATAATGTTGTACAGTTGTAAAGGATTATGACTGTTATCACATTGTCTTTGATTCACAGCCTAGTGCACCGTCCTGCCACACTTTCTTTCTGCTCTCTGCTCAAATTTGTAGCTTGGCAACCACTGGTGGTCCCACTGCTGTAAGGTCTTAAATGTCAGTTATGCCTCAAGGCCCTCATTGCCCAACATTCTAACACACTCACCTTTCAGGTGTCCAGAATAATCTACTCTTCCCTATTTCTGAAGTATTTAGCTAAAATACCTTGTGGTCCTAGAGTGATCCTCAACTATGCATTCCTTGGCACAGGTCAGCTTAATGTGGATTTGCAGGGCAGTCATTCCTAAAAAGTTCCATTTTTCTTTTCTTTCTTTGAGTGAGTGTGTGTGTGTGTGTGTGTGTGTGTGTGTGAAAAGATCCCTGATCTAGCAATTTCTTTTCTAAACCTATCCTACAGAAGTCCACTAGCATGCAGAGATGATATATGATGATGCCTACGCAGTTCTGTTTATAATACAAGAAAAAACAAAATGAAACCGACACATCAAGTGGGGCTGGCTTAAAAAATTGTAACACAGACATTGGCTATATAACATACCAGTTATTAAAAGGAATGAGGTGGGCAGGCTGCAGTCTAGAGGGTTATGCTGCTGCTGGGAGGCCAGCGTCACAGATCTGAGTTCCAGCTGAGTTCTGAATGACCTGGCTTCCAATCCAGCTTCCTGCTAATGTGCCTGAAAGCAGCCAGTGATGACCCCAGTGCTTACACCACTACCACCCACATAGATAGTCTGGTAGAGTTCCAAACTCTCGGCGTAGGCTGGATCCTGTGCCAGCTGTAGTATTTGGGGAGTGAACCTGTGAATGGAACATCTTGACTCTTTCTCTTCTGTTTAAGCATAAGGAAATACATGAGTAAACTAAAAGAATGATGTTTATTTCTATTTTGTCAAAGAAAGACTTTGCAAGTGAAAAACCTAGTTGTTTTTCTTACTAATCCTACCCCTTTTAAACAAAATAAATAAAACGTAACCATATGGGCATTTGTATTTATGTGCTTACATGGAGAAGTCCGAGATACTACTCATTACACTAGCAAGTAATTAGTGATAAAAGTAACTGTGATGGGAATAAACCTAATTATAAATTAAGTGCTATACATCATATAAAGATACCATTTTTAAAACATATATAGTATATCACATTCAAAGCAAGTATATTGTGGATGAAATGACAACAGATAGTCTTTACCTCAACATAATCCAGGGTGGTGGAGTTAGAAATGAACTGTGGTACCAATGAAGTAAGACTAGCTATGTGTTGATAATTCTTGACTAAATGAGAATATATATGGGCTTACTATGCTATTCTCTGTATGTCCATATATAGTTGAACATTTTGTAATAAAAACAAAATAATTTGTTTGAGAGGCAGTGAGACAGAAAGAGAGAGACAAAAGAAACGATGTTCTCCATATGCCTGCAACGCTGGTGCCCTCGGTTCAGGTCTCCCACATGGTTTGCAGGAATCCCACTGAAGATGCCATCACTCATACCTCCCAGGGCATGCATTGGCCGGAATGCTGGAAGACGGTAATTAACCCAGGTACTCTGTTATGGGATCGGGACACCTTAGCTGATGTTTTAATTGCTAAGCTATACACATGTCCAAAAATAAAAAATGATTTTCAAATAAACAATTACACTCAATTTTAAGTACCAATTGTTTTATTTTATTTTACGATTTTACATAAAAATCAATCAAATCATAATTGTATTTTACTGAGAGATAGCAATTGTTTTGAAGATTCATATATTTGAAAGTCAAACTTACACAGAGGGACACTCACACACACACTCACACACACACTGATCTGCCATTTGCTGGTTCACTCTCCGATGGCCACAACAGCCAGGGCTGAGCCAGGCTGAAGACAGCAGCCTGGAGCTTCAGCTGGGTCTCCCATGTTGGTAGCAGAAATTCAATGCTCAGCCATCTTCTGCTTTCCTAAGTCATTAACAGGGAACTTGATTGGAAATGGAGCAACTGGGACATGAACCTGTACCCATCTAGGATGTTAACATTTGTACGTGGCAACTTAACCTATTTCATCATGATGCCAGTTCCAGGAATAGCATCCTAAGCAGCAACTGGGTATATGGGTTTAGAGTCTGACTAGCAAGTAAACTTGGGAAGAGTGAAGATGCCATAAAGACAGACTCATCTTGGTTTGTACTATTCCAAATAAGAATAAATACTTTATAATGATGAAAGAAACACAAAGAATTAGGAGATGCAGTTAATCAAACAGGTATGCAAATCTGTAACAGAGGAGATGGAAGAACGATGTCATCTGGGATCAGGCTAAACTAGAGACACACAATGTGCTGCAGAGGTGAGGATTACGAAGTAGAATGGACGGCTTCTCTTGACTGCCTGTCAGGGGCTGGCATACTCATGTCAATGACGACAGGGGAGGCCTGGAGGAGCAGATGGAGAGGCTCACAACAGGCAAAAGTTACTGTTCATGTTGCCACAGAGAGCAGAAAGGCCCGAGGACCAGCTGGGGGAAACAGAGGGAGAAAATCCCCCTTAGCAAAGGAACTGTGAGAAGACTGGGATGCCCCAAATCCAAAATCCTGGTATGGGTGTTCCGTAGGCTCTTTTCTATGATGTGAGCAGCAAAAGCACTCAAAGCTTGATCTCCCTGCTGGAAACTGCTACACAGAATGTCCATTTGGTTCACCAAGGTCTGTGCCAAATAGAAGACGATTGGAGTCGCATTAAAAGATGCTTTGTATCACACCTAGAATGTGGGCCTGGAAGTCTTACTATCTCAATGTCATTGTGCCTGCAATGTTCTACTTGCTTTGAAATAGATGTAAGAGTAGAACCCAATATATAATTCAGTCAGGCGGAGCAGCGTGACTCAAGAAGGATGAGGATGAGGGCTCCCCGGGGCTATGGAGTCTCTGACATTGTAGCTGTTCTCTCGTTAACTCCAATGCCTGCATTATGGTAAAGACAGAAGAGCATTTGGGGAGTATATCTAGGAATATAGACTCCTTCCCTCTGTATTTTAACAACTCATATGTAACCTAGTTAATTCAAGCTTCACTCCTAGTAAGCCATAAAGATAAGGAGATGGGCTAATAAATGCTCAGGCAGTGAACATGGTGAAGCTGTCACCATACTTCCCAGAGGTGACTTGGAGCAGTGAGCATTAGGTCACTTTGTGGACTCTTGGTGCTGACCAGGTCACAGGCCTTGTCCACCCAGCTCTGTGATCGGTCCACAGTGACATCAGAGGAGTGGGGGAGCTGTTAGATCAGGCCCAAGGCAAGAGACTGACTGACTTGAGCAAGGTCCCCCCTTTGCAAAATAGATGATTCTGGACTCATAGCCACGCTTCCTGATTGCCAAACCAGTGTTTTCCTGTCATTCCATCACCCTTCTTTCATGTCAGAAGGAATACATACTGAATACACTGCTCATGGTACAGAAGCTAAGCTATGTCTGGCTGGTACTATCAAACAGGGACTTGGACAGAGAACGCTGCCAGCTTGGAGGGGTTCTGGACAGAGACACATTTGTGAGTGTGTGTGTGTGGTTCAGGGTTGTGTGGGTAGCAGTCCCCTTTGTTTCTTGAGCACCCAAAACAATCAAACCTTGGGCCCATGTTGGACAGGGTTAAACTGGATGGCTTTTACTTTTCAAGAGACACTTCTTTATTTTAACATGGGGTCTGGGAGATTGAGGGTGGGTCTGAAATCTGCACTTCCTCAAAGTATGTTGTTGATTGAGCAAATTAGTTAATAGCGCTATGAGTCTCGGTTCGTAACTTTAATGCCTGCTACATCTTTGTTCCAAGATTTTTCTGAGGATAAAATGTACAGGAAAGTATGTTATAAACTGCAAAGTACATTTAAATGCAAGGCATTACTAATCATATTATGGTACAAGAAAGACGATGCCCCATGAATACTTAAGGCACTCTGGCGCTTAGCAATAACAATAAGGAGACAAGGTGACTGAGGCCCACTCCCACCCTCTTCTGGGAGAACTTCCAGTCCTCCATTCAGTGGGAAGAGCTGTGTATCAGATGATGGAGGAAGCACTTAGAAACCCCTGACCAAAGGACAGCAGAGGCCAGGTGGCTTGCCCTTCCACAGGGCTCCCACCTGTGGAAGGATGGCTTCCCCACTGTGGCTGTGGAGCCTTCCTCTCCTTCATGAGCTGGGTAGGCCCCAGGGAACCAGAGTCAGCTGGAAGAAGCAAGGGTGTCTGAGAAGCAAGGGGCAGCTGAAGAACAGACATGACATGAGAATATGCTTTGATCTGTACAAAGGAAGACAAGAGCAGGAGTGGAGTGGCATGCTGCATTCCCATCACCCGACCGAGATGGGCACAGAACAGGGAGTACATCAGACTGTCTGTGACACTCCGAGAAAATGGAACCGAATGGGGGTTTTGGCTTACAATTCTTCCTGACAGCTTCGAGTCCATTAAAAATACATTAAATGTCAGCGAGAATTTGCCATGGCATGTTGTTTTGCCAAGAGCAAAATTTGTGAAATCAAGACATACATTTTAAATGAAGTCACATCAGTACTTTCCATTGCATTTACTGCTATGAAGAATACTATGCATGTTGGGAGAAATTACTTCTGTAAATACACACACACCCATCCTTTTTTTAAAGTTTTATATATTTTGGAAAAGAATTGTAGATCTTTCTACTTTCTCACATAAATCTCAGAATTACTGCCACAAAATCAAGAAGACATTGTCTGTAGAGTGGCCACTTTTTAAAAAACATTTATTTTTATTGGAAAGACAGATATACAGAAAGAAGAAGAGACAGAAGGGAAGATCTTCTGTCTATTGATTCACTCCCCAAGCAGCCACAACGGCCAGAGCTGAGCTAATCCAAAGCCAGGAGCCAGGTGCCTCTTCTTGGTTTTCTGCACGTGGGTGCAGGGCCCAAGGCTTTGGCCTGTCCTTGACTGCTTTCCCAGGCCATAAGCAGGGAGCTGGATGGGAAGTGGGGTTGCTGGGATTAGAACCTACATCCATATGGGATCCCTGCGCATGCAAGGCAAGGACTTTAGCTACTAGGCTACCACGTGGGGCCCAGTGGCTACTCTCTGATTGTTGCAACCACATAGGTAGATCAGGATATTATCCTGATTTTAATTTGGAGAAAAGTAGAAGGGAGAGGAAAGAAAATTGGGACTTATGAGGTGTAGTACACTATGTTTGGCATCATTTATTCCATTTTCTAAAGGTTTATTTTAATTTTTTTGAAAGGCAGATTTATAGGGAGAAGGAGAGACAGAGAAAAATATCTTCCATCTGCTGATTCACTCCCCAAGTGCCAGAGCTAAGTTAATCCAAAGTTAGAAGCCAGGAGACAGGCAGTTCTTCTGGGTCTCCCATGTGGGTGCAGGGTCCCAAGGCTTTGGACTGTCCTCCAGTGCTTTCCTAGGCCACAAGCAGGGAGCTGGATGGGAAGTGGAACAGCCAGGATGTGAACCAGTGGTCACAGGGGAAGATTAGCTAATCAACTGAGCCATTACACTGGGCCCCATTTATTCCTTTCTTACAGCAATTTCTTTTTTCTTCATCCATTTTTTCTTTATTTTTGACAATTTTTACATAGTTAATTAGGGCACAAAGGTTCAAGGGCTACAGGAAAGTGGGGAAGACTATTATTTCCACATTTTTTTTTTTCTGTGTCTGGGGTAAAGGAGGAGATAAAGGGAGAAGCCCCACCCAGGGGATGGAGGACAGAACAAATCAATCAACTACCCCAACCATATGTTGGCAGTGAAAAACTGGGCAAACGGAGACTCTAAGATGGACTATTTTAGTCAGTGGATTCTGGAGATTTCATTGTGCTTGGAATGGCGAGACTGGCAGCAATTCAGAACTGTTGAACTATCAAAACCTCTTGAGCAGGACTCTCAGAGCATGCCCCACATCAGGGACCTGGGATGGGTGGGAACCTGGGTGGAATTTAGGGGCTATTTCTGTATGAATTTTACAGAAAAGTTTCAGAGAAATCACACACTCTGTTAAGCCCACAAAGCCATCAGGGGACAAAGCTGGGATCCCCTCCAGCAGATGCTTTCCCCACGAGTTAGAGGTAGAAAAGAAGCACACAGAAATTATCTGGGTTTTAGAAATCTGCTTATCTGTAACTTGTTGGGAGTGAGGGTTGGGGAGTGGGTGGGAGAACAGATGAATCAAGATTAACCATGGGCTGAACAATATTTGAAACTGGGTAATCACTTTCAGTATACAACCTTGTTTGCTTTTTATAGGTTTGAAAGTTTCCAAAATCAAAGGTCAAACAAAAGAGCTTTTTTTTTTTTTTCCAGTGGACATAGACAACATAGAAAATGTAACATATCAATAATCTTCTTGCTCACTAAAAGATGGTGAAGTCTGATAACAGGAGGCAGAGGTCATTTGTTGGGGATATTTGCCAAGATGAAGTGGGCAGTGATCACACGTGACGTGCAGCTCAGCCTCTATCAGATGAACATTGTTCCATCCCCAGGAAGGAATCTTAGCAGTGTGCTGCTTTAGAGCTTCAAATTATCATTGTAAAAGCTCTGCTAACTAGACTGGAGATTAATATTGAAGGATGTCGGAAATGCTACTTGGGTTATTTTTACCCTATTTGTAAGTTTTTCTAACATTATCAAGAACTACAAGAAGACAGAGAATCTCACAGATGGAGGAAAGAATATTTTACCACAGAAAAAGTATTGCTTTGCTTAACTTAAAAGGTTAACTTTAATTAAGACAGCGATAAGAGCTTTTACCGAAAGAATGACAAATATGTAAAATTACCTCCACTGCTGCGGGCCATTGTCATGGCTTCCAAAGACGTAGCTGGAGTTATTTCTAGCTGGCAGATCATCACTTTGGCTCTGCTAATGACATTGGCTGCTTCCCTCAGGTCTTCAGTATTCAAAAGTAAATTTGCTCCAGCCACTATGACGATGATATTCTGGCCTACAAAGAAATTCTGCATATTTATATAAAAACCAAGCAAAGCCAAGCACTGGTATTTCGTAATGTTACAATCATTCTGATAAAGTCATTATGCAAAATGAGTATTAATTTCAGCATTTCCAGGCCATTCAGGTTAAATTTTGTGTTCCAAATATATCTTTTGCAATATCTTTCCTAAGATTCATATTACGAGGATCATTTTGAGCAATATCTTAAAAAGGTTTCTCCTATCAATATTCTTATATACAGGGAATATTAGTTTAGAAGTGATACATAATATACTTTTAAAATTTCCTTTATAGGAAATAGGTACTATGTAAAGCTTTCTGAATTCTAAATGACAGACGCTGTGGAGATGAGCATAAATAGGAGTACATCTGTGGGATGCTCAAAACTAATGCTCCGTCGGAGGCAAGCAATGCTTGAGTATACCCTATGGCATTCCAAAAGTGACTGTCAATTAAAATACGCTTTATTATATGCAACAGATGGAACACTGTACCAGATAAAGTAGAGAGGGATGTGTGGCCTATGTCATACTGGATCAAATAGACAGAAACAGGACAAAGGAGTCTTGCATATTCTCATTATTTGGACCCATGCTCTACATGGGGTAAGAGCATGTTGTATCTGCTGCTTATGTTAAAAAATTTGAAGTTTGGTTATATTAATCTGAAAGGGAGAAGGAAAGGAGAAAAGAGTGAAAAATACGGAGAGAGAGAACACTCCCATCTGCTGGTCCATTCCCCAGATGCCCCAGGTAGTCCGGTAGGCCACGCTAGAGCGAAAGCTGGAAGCTCATTGGGCTCTAGGGAGAGTGGGTGACAGCTGCCTAATTATTTGCATTCTCAGAAGCTGCCTCCCAGGGCGTATATTAGCAGGAAGTTGGAATTGGGAGCAAAGTCTGGGACCTGAACCTAGGCAGTCTAATAAGCAATATGGGCAGCTGAAGTAGCATCTTCACCATTGTGCTAAGGACATGCCCCATATCATAGTTCTTAAGAACTCTGCTGCTCAGGGCTGATACGGTGGTGCTATGGACCATTCCTCTGCACAGGAACCCCTTAGGGGCACTGGTTTATGTTGCTCCATTACCAATCCGGCTCTCTGTTTAAGGCCTGGGAAAGCAGTGGAGGATGGCCCAAAGACTTGGGCCCCCTGTACCCACATGGGAAATCTGGAAGAAGTTTCTGTCTCCCAGCTTTGGCTGTCGCAGCCATCCACAGAGTAAACCAGTGATACAAGACCTTTTCTCTAATCTCTCCTCTTTCTGTAAAATCTGCCTTTCAAAAAGCAAACACACAAACAAAGCCCTTAACTATGCTGCTCGATACAGAGGCCACTGGCACAGAAATATATGGCTACTGACCACTTGAAATGTGGGAGTCCAACCTGAGACATGCTTTGAGTATAAATCCAAGTGGATTCCCAAGACAGGACAAAGGAAAGAATGTTAACTATCTCTCAATTTTTAATTTTTAATACAGTAAACTTGTATTACATGATGAAATACTATTTTGGATTCACTGGACTAAATATATTGTCAAAATAACATTTACCTGTTTCTTTATGCTTTTGTTTATTATTCACTTATATTTATTTTACAGTAGATCGATTTATTCTTACTTAAAAGGGAAAGGCAGAGATAAGTCTGTGGGAGAGAGAGATCTTCCATCTGCTGGTTCACTCCTCAAATAGCTGTAAAAGTTGGGGCTGGGTTGTGCAAAGCCAGGAGCCTGGTGCTTCCTTCAGATCTCCCACATGGGTGCAGGGGTCACGTACTTGGGCCATCCTCTGATGCTTTCCCAGGCCATCAACAGGGAACTGATTGTAAGTGAAGCAGTTGGGATACATACACATTGGCACACAATTGGGAAGCTAGTGCTGGAAGTAGAGGTGAAACTTGGTATGCCACAACACCAGCCTCCCCCGCACCATCCCCCTTTTTAAAGATTTATTGATTGATTGATTTGAAAGAGTTACAGAAAATGGAGAGACAAAGAGAGCGAGATTCTTCACTTCCCAGATGGCTGCAACAGGAGCCAGGAGCTTTCCCAGGTCTCCCACCTGGGTACAGGGGCCCAAGCATTTGGATCATCCTCTCTGCTTTCCAAAGCCCATTAACAAGGAGCTGAATTGGGAATAGTTCTAAACTGGAACAGCTGTGATTTGAACTGGTACTCATATGGGGTGCCAGTATCTCAGGCAGTGGCTTTACCCACTATGCCACAGCACTGGTCCCTCTTTATAACTTTAAAGTGTGATTATTGAACAGTTTGAAATGCTGTATGCGGGTTGCATTTTATTTCTGCTGGACAATATTATCTAGAGCAATTAGTTGCAGTAAGCACTTTTTTTGTGTGTGTGCTGTAGAGGCTGCTTGTGTTGCTCTTGTGTAGATATGACCTAAAACTATCTTTAAACACTGAACAAATTCTAGCTATCATTTTACCACAAATGTGTTCATTGGCTATGAGGAGGATTTAATAAGTAGGGATAGTTCAAGTGTAAAGCCAACTGCAGGACTGAAAAGTTCACAGACCCATGTGCTGACAGACAGCATCTCCTTGCTTTTCTCCCTCCATGACCCCAGTGTCTGTGCAGGCAGCTGCAGCTTCTGTGTTACAGGTATCTGAGCCTACATTTCTGGCCTATTCTCGGATGCTGAGCAACAAACCCCAAGATGGCAGAGGTCTGGTGGACCAGGCCAATGGCTACTTCCCTCAAGCTGCAGATGTGATTAGTCAAAATGACACTCATTATACTGCCTTGCACACTCCCTCCTGCACTTACCCCTTCCTGCCAGTGCCCCTCTCGGGCCTCTCTCAGTGCTTCTACCGCTATCTATACTTGAAGAGCATTACCATTCACTCCAAATCAGACAGAGCCTACCATAAAAGGCACTACGTACACAGCGTTAACTTACATCCTTGAATGGAAAATGCAGATTTTGTTTTACAGATAAGGAAGAAAGAGAACTTGAAGATATCTGTAGAATAAAATAAGAGGTTTAAGACAGGGATGAGCGACTGTTGACAGCAATAATTACCTAGGATGTAGCCTGAAGTCATGAGCACAGGCTCTCCATTGTTAGAATGAAAACATGTGTCTACTGTTTTTAAGTGGAACTTCCTTTATCATGGTAACTTCAGGATTGTTAAAGTCTAGATAAAAATACTGTATCTTTTATGTGAAATGATTGCACAAAATTCATCATCCATGGTTTTGCTTCCTGTGGTTTCAACTTCCTGTGGTCAGCTGTGCTCCAAAAATGCTAAATGGAAAATTCCAGAAATAATGCACAATTTTTAAATTATGCACATTCTGAGGAGCATGATGAAATCTGCACCACCCTGGCCCATCTCACCCAGAACATGAATCATCCCTTTGTCCAGCATATCCATGCTATGTACTCGATGCTACCCACCCATTAGTCACTTGGTCATGGTGGTGACCAGACTGACTGTTGGGATAATGCAGTGTTTGTGCTCATGTCGCTGCCATGCAGTAATCCAATGCTATGTCACAGCACCAGTGTGCTTCACCTCACTCTGTAGGCACTTTACTAGCTCACGTCACCATGAATAGAAGGGTGAGCACAGTACAGTAAGATACTGCAAGACATGATTATATAGGATACATTATAATTGTTTTATTGTATTACTGTTGTTGTTAATCTCTTACTCTGCGCATCTCAGAAATTAAACTTCATGTTACTGTGCATGTATAAGGAAAAACATAGTCTATATGGGGTGCCAGGCATTCTTTGGGGGTTTTGGAACATATGCCCTGAGGATAAGGGGAAAGTTACTGTATAAATAAGACATGTTGTCATAAATCCCAATTTAACACAGTGCACATGGTGCCCTAGGTTCTATTATAGGTGCCTGCAGAAGGGGTAAAGGTAGAATCTTGTGTAGGTGTCTTTATACTTAATGCTTAAAAAGTTGACGGAAGTTACAAAAAAATTGAAAGTGGTTATTGTTTTTAAAGATAAATGCTTCAACTATGGCAAAGCTTGGTGGCAGAATTAGTTGTATGTATAGACTTTTAAGATCTGATTGCTCCCAGTAAAATCACAACAGAAGACTAAACCAATGAACAACCCATTCTTAAAATGACAGGACCAAAGTACCACTATACATATGAACCCTGAATGTAAATGGCTTAAGCTCAATCAAACATCATAGATTAGTAGGCTGGATTAAAAAACAAAACCCATTTATTTGTTGTCCAGAAGAGACACATTTCACCAACAAAAATCAGCGGAAACTATATCGCATGGGTTTTGATGTTTTCTGTTAGTTTCATCTCTTCAAAACACTTTCTTCTGATTAAATTCTTCAATGACTCATAGTAGCATCATTTTCTGCAAGAAGGTTCTTGATTTTCATTTCTTCAGCTACACGTTAGTCATTTAGTAGTATGTTATTTAACTTCATGGTGTTGTTAATTTCTTTGTGGCTTTTCATTTAAGGGGATGTATAGTAGCTGTGCAATGGAGACTGTCATATCTAGTAACATGTTATTTAACTTCATGGTATTGTAAATTTCTATTTTTCTTTCTATTGTTGATTTTGTAGTGACTTTTCATTTGAGGGGATGTACAGTAGCTGTGAAATGGAGACTGACATATCCAGATGTGAGGATACAATGCAGTATGCATTTCTACTTCCAGACAAAGATGGACTTACAATGAAACTGTTTACTATATCTTGACAATAGGATGCTGGACTCTCTGCCATTGTCCATGCCCGCAATGATGGACATATGGCTGTGTATGAAGAACTATACTTTAGTAATGATAAAGAGGAACTAGGTGTGGGGAGGAATTGGGGCTGGGATAAGGGAAATACCTGGAGCCTATGGAACTGTATCATAAAATAATAATAATAATAATAAAAATAAAGTTATAAAAGATCTGATTGCTGTTTAAAAACCTGACAAAATTGAACAGTGAAGATAGATTCAAAGCAATTAGCTGCTGCCATAGCACAATAAACATTCTATAAATATTACTCATCCAACATTCTTTCTCACCTATTTGCAGTTAGTTACCTAGTGTAATGAAATGGCAGATGACTATTTGACTGTTTTGAGATACAAATGTCAATTCTGAGTTCACATGAAGGGTAAGGGGGATATTATAGGAGGTAAGACTTAGAGGTAACTAAGTCTTATTGTGTGTCTCTGTGTATATATATATATATACATGATGGGCAATTTTCTATTTATTTTAAATTCTTATTTTTAATATTGTTTACATAGTTGAGACAATTTTATATTTGAATTATCAAAATGAGAAATATAAATGAAAACTTATTTATATTTGAGTTGGAAAAACCATGCCAAATCTTGGTGTTAAGAAGTCCATAGGCCTGGGCTACTGGTTGCTACTGGTCTGGAAGCGAACTGTCTCATGAAATGATACTTCAATATGTGAAATTGATACCTTCATCATTGACAATTATAGAAGCAGTCCCTGTGGCAGCATCTGTAGTCTGGTATGCAAATTCTAAAAGAGAAAAGAAAATTGTAATCATGTACATACCGTTTGTCTTGGATAATTTAACAATTCCATTGCAACACTAATCCTTGGAAAAACTTTTTAACCTTTAACCATCTGGAATGATGAGAAAAAGAAAACCCCCTCCAAAAAAAAAAAAAAACCAACAAGAAAACCAAGTAGTGCCAATTTATACCTATGATCTAAACAATGAGGAAAATAGAAGTTACGTTTCATTGCACCTTTTCTCCTGAGTAGTAACAAAGCACCAGGCCACTTCTCTTTCCAATTTCCCTAAGTTATTCACAGTTATATACATATGCATTTTTCTAGGCCAACACATTTATTTTCTTCACTGGAAGAAATGACAGACTTGAGTTTTTAAAAAAATAACTAAAAAAAAAAAAAAAAAACCCAAAAGGTCAAACATATCAAATGAATTTGTTTGATTTTCTTCACTTCCAGAAGCTTTGTCTCTCTTCAAGAATCATGGTCTGGCCCCCCCCCCCCCCCCAAAAAAAAAAGACGCAGCTCAGGCCACTCGGGTAGCACTGAGCCCTGGAGCAGTCTGCAGAGCCCTGGCCCTAGCTCCAACTCGCTGTGTGCTGTTCAACAAAAATTCAAGCACTTCTTTGGCCTTGGGTTTTCTCTGCTGTGACAATGATACCAGCCTTGATGATACACTTGATAAAACAATAACTTTTCTCAGTAAAGCTTTTGTTTCCTTATATCACTTGTGCCATATCCATGAGATGAAAGTTTATAAACTCCTATCATTTTATTCCCATCTTGAGGAATGTACATGAAATAATTAATGAAAGGACATTTAAATAAGCCCAGACAAAGCTGGTGCATAAGAATTCTCTGGCCACCAGGGAATGATCTAATAATTCTATTCTAAATTCAATTTTCCTGTAATAAGACCACAGAAGAAAATTATCAACATCAACTTTTAAAAAGATGAAATTTTACCTGTAGGAATATCATTCTGTTTTAAATTTTCTATATAGTCATTGCCAAAAGAATCCTTGCCAACCTGTACCAAAGAAATGATGAACATTAGATCTTTCCCACTTACTAAAATGCTACAATGTAGCTTTTAGAATACTTAGCATTTTAAAAGGGCATATCTGCACAGTGCTTTATAAACATTCACTAATTAATTTTCTTAATGTAAGATGTTAGACTTGACTTCAGCCCAAATTGTTGTATACTAATGTTTTACTTATATCCTACTAAAATGTTAAGCATATGACTATTGTAAGTTCTATAACCTCAATTCTGATTGTTTCATGTGATAGTTCCCATTGAGACAGAACTAGCTGTCCAACATCAATATTTATAACACATCTCAGCTGTTGGTACTTCAGTATAAATAGGGGCCCCTCCAATACTTCGTCCCATGTTCTACAGTCATCCTAACTTTTCCCTTTTCACATTGGGGCAAAGAGGAGGGATTTTCAAAAACCTAGCTAACTTGAGTAACTTAGTATGGTGGGATTCTGTTGCTTTTGCATTCTGACATCCATTCTTGTAGGGGCACTTCCATTTTCCTTTGGATATCCATTTCTCTCCTGTCCACAGATGACATGATTGGGTTGGTTAGGGAACCTAGCCCCGGCGCAAGAACATGTTCCACCACCTTGGTCACAGTGATGAGATCATGAGTGGGTGTGTGACCCAAATCCACCCAATGAGATTCAATCTTGGGAATTTTATTCAGACAATTGGGGAAAAAGCCTTGTCCCCAGATTGCTACCTGGAAGGGAATGTACCACAGATCACGCTCTGTAAGCAGCAGCCTGAATAAGCAGGGTGATAGAGGACTTTTTTTTTTTTAAGATTTTTAAGTTTATTTTTATTTGGAAGGCAGATTTATAAACAGAAAACACGGAGAGAGAGAGGGGCGGAGGGACAGAGGGAGAGAGAGAGAGAGGAGAGAGAGATATTTCACTGCTGGTTCACCTCCGAATGACCACAATGGCTAGAGCTGGGCCAGTCTGAAGCGAGAAGTGAGGAACTTCTACCAGATCTCCCACATGTGCCCAGGGACTTGGGCTAGACTTTGCTGCCTTCCCAGGCCAAAAACAGGGAGCAGGATCAGAAGGGGAGCAGCTGGGTCACAAACTGGCGCCCATATGGGATGCCGCTGCACCTGAGACATGGCCTCTTGATAAGCTTGGTGGATGCCTATGTCACTGGGCTTTTCAGTTACATGAGCCAAGTTGATTTTCACCCCCTCCCTTGAGCGATTTTGAGTTGAGTGTCTATTACATGTTACTCTAAAATGTTATGATTAGCTTCAAAAGCTGAACCAACCTGCTCTGATCCTGAGCCATAAGTCACATAGTTATGCTTCTGGCTGGATCTAAGGTCTTACTTTGTGGTCCATTTTGGTCACTGAATTTTTCTTTTTCTTTTTGCCCCCCACAATAGGGCTTTTCTGCCAGGCCAGCCAGGACTTTAGGCCTGTGACTGAAGTCCAGAAGGCCATTATTGCAAAGCTTTTGATGCCAACCATGGGCTTCTACATCTACTGCTCATTCCAGGCCTTCTGGTGCACTCACAGCCCTGTACCTCTCTGAGGTTAACCACTCATCACAATGCCACTCTGGCTGGACTTGGCCTGGCTCTGTGGTTGAGTCTATAGCAGAGGCTGTACACCAAAGGCTTGAAGGTTGAATTTTCACCCTTGGATGTATTGTTAGCTCAACTGCTTAAAAAACAAACAATTTTTAAAAGCAGTTTTAGGTTTTCATTAGAAGTAAGCAGAGTAAGTTCTCATATATCTTTCTATTTTTAAAAATTTATTTTCTCTCCTCCCAGAAGGGGCAGTGATGGGGCTAATTCTTGCTCCCTGGCAAGCTCAGCCTTGGCTAGGTGGTGGTCTCCAGCTTACTCCATAGCCCCTGTTATTCTGCTGAGCTGGAGCTGGAGGGGGAAGGGGAAAGCAAGAGGAAGGGAAGAACTGGGGAGGGAGAAGACTCTCATATACCTCCTGTATGCTAATCCTGTTAACATCCCAAACACGGTGGTTGGTGCATTTTTTCAGTCAATGAACCCACATAAACACAGTATTACTCAAGTCCCACAGTTTCCCATGCAGTCTACTCTCGGTGCTACGTGCTATGCCTGACAAACACAAACGTGTGGCTGTGCATTTGTTACAGGATTGTACAGAAGAGTTTCACTGTTTCAAACAGCCCTTCTCTCCCATTCCCTCACCACTGGTATTTTCACTGTGTCCCTAGTTTTGCTTTCTCAGAATGTCACAGAACTGGAAAGACTGTAGTCTTTTTTTTTTTTTTGAAAGATTTATTTATTCATTGGAAAGTCAAATATACAGAGAGGAGGAGAGACAGAGAGGAAGATCTTCCGTCCGATGATTCACTCCCTAAGTGAGCACAACGGCCAGTGCTATGCCGATCCGAAGCCAGGATCCAGGAACTTCTTCCGGGTATCCCACATGGGTGCAGGGTCCCAAAGCTTTGGACCGTCTTCGACTGCTTTCCCAGGCCACAAGCAGGGAGCTGGATGGGAAGTGGAGCTGCCGGGATTAGAACCGGCGCCCATTTGGGATCCCAGCATGTTCAAGGGGATGACTTTAGCTGCTTAGGCCACACGCCGCTGGGCCCAAGACTGTAGTCTTTTTTTTTTTAAGATTTATTTGTATTATTTTTTTATTGGAAAGGCGGATATACAGAGAGGAGAGACAGAAAGGAAGATCTTCCGTCCGATGATTCACTCCCCAAGTGAGCGCAACGGGCCGATGCTATGCCGGTCCGAAGCCAGGAGCCTCTTGCGGGTCTCCCACGCGGGTCCAGGGTCCCAAGGCCTTGGGCCATCCTCGACTGCTTTCCTGGGCCACAGGCTGGAAAGGAAGCGGGGCTGCTGGGATAGAACCGGCGCCCATATGGGATCCTAGTCTTTTTATGACTGGCTTCTTTTGACTTAGTAGGACACCCTAAGATTCTTTCATGTCTTTTTGTGCTGCAATAGATCACTTTTTTTTTTTATGTGAAGAATGATATTCCATTGTGTGGGTGTAGCTCAGTTTATCTGTCTACTCACCTGATGAAGGCTGTTGTGTCTGCTTTCAAGTTGTGGCAGTTCTGACTAAAGGAATCATAAACAGTCATGTGCACGCGTTTGTGCGAATGCTCATCAATTTTTATTTACAATTTTAACCAGCTGTCAATACTTGAATATTAGGCCGCAGCACAGACTGGGAAGGACTTGAGAAGCTGAGGTTCTGGTAACACTTGGTCTGCATTTCTACAGGGTTACCTAGCTGGAACTGAGAAGAGACCTCCCCAAAGGTAGACTCAGGCTCCGGGGTTCATCACAGCCACCACTGGCCCTACTGCTATTTTAGTTACCAAGGTGGTTTCTGCAGGCCCTGAGGCTCAGCTCCTCAACCACACTTCTGTTTTTCTATCCTACAGGAAAGTACTACGCCAATGGACTGTGTTCCTGCCAGGTCTCCACCACTCCTGGTATGTTCTGTTCTTCCACAGAAAACTGTTTCCGTCCAGACTTATTAAGAGAAAGGACCCTGGCGATTTACTTGGGCAAGATGCCCAATGAGTGAAGATGAAAATTCCTGGCTTTTGGATTGTCTAGAGCAGGCATTGGAAAACTCTGTTTTCTGTAAAGGGCCACAGGGTGAGTATTTTAGGCTTTGTGAGCCATATGGTCTCTTTTGCAACTATTTAGCTCTGTCATTGTAGGATTAAAAAAGCCAAAGCCAATCTATAAACAATGGTTGTGCCTGAGTTAACAATAAATCTTTATTTACAATAATAAATAGTAGGCTATATTTGCCCTGTGGGTTTTAGTTGGCTGACCCCTGATTTCAATGCCATATGCGATACATTCTATCCTGAAAGAACACTCCCTCCCTCCCGCCCCATCACCTTTTTGGCCATAACACTGACCAGACAATTATCTCCAATATTGTATAATAGCTTCTCACTAGCAAAATTTCTGTCCGTACAGGACTGTGCAACACAAAGTGCTCTAGCAGAGAGTGGCTCTGTTTGGGTGGTGCTCCTCTCTCGAGAACTTCCCACACAGAAGGCTAGCCCCGTACCAGCTTAAGTGCCAAAGCATGCACTTACGTTGGTCAGAAATTCATACCAGAAACAAACTCTTTATAAAGATGGGAAGGAACTTCTACAAGCATGCTATAAAGACTAGAAAAAGGCTGTCCCAAGGCATGGGGGACCGGCACAAATCACAGCAGGGCAGCTGTCTGCTCTGTCACTATGTTATATAGGCAAAAGCCTGTTAGGGTGAACATCAGAAGCAGCCTTGATAAATGGAGGTGAGCATATAAACATTAGGAAAAACGGATCTGGAGGAATTGTTGGGAGGAGAAGCAAAAACACCATGCAGCTTTGCCTAAATATCCAGGGCTGAGCCGACAGAGACGAGAACAGTGCCGGGTGGGAGGCCGTGTGCGTCAGAGGATGCTTGGCAGGCTGGCTGCTGTGCTGTTTTATCGGTTTGAAGAGCTGCTTTCCTTCTGCACAGGGAAATACCTGATTTGCTACATCTCTCAGGGACAGTTATGGTTTAATTTATTCCAATAGGAATTTCCTGATAAATCTGTCTGACCTTGTAAACTGTTTGTGAGTGGTGGGATAAAAACCCTTTCTTCTGCTTTGGTTGGTATTCCTTGTTAAAGAGAAAAATCTGGTAATTAAAAAAAATAATGGCGGGGGCAGGGGACTGGTGCGATGACTCAACTGGCTAATCCTCCTCCTGTCAGCAATGGCACCCTTATGGGTATTGGTTTGTATCCCGACTACTCCACTTCTCATCCAGCCTCCTGCTTATGGCCTGGGAAAGCAGTAGAGGATGACCTCTACTGAGAGCCTCGGGACCCTGTACCCGTGTGGGAGACTCAGAAGAAGCTCCTGGTTCCTGTCTTTGGATCAGATCAGCTCTGGCCATTGCAGCCATTTGGGAAGCGAAACAGTGGATGGCAGTTTTTTCTGTGTCTCTCTTTCTCTATAAATCTGCCTTCCCAATAAAAAAGAATAAATCTCTTTTTTTTTTTTTTTAAAGATTTATTTTTGTTATTTTTTTTTATTGGAAAGGCGGATATACAGAGAGGAGAGACAGAGAGGAAGAGCTTCCGTCCGATGATTCACTCCCCAAGTGAGCGCAACGGGCCGATACTATGCCGATCCAAAGCCAGGAGCCTCTTCCGGGTCTCCCACACGGGTGCAGGGTCCCAAAGCCTTGGGCCGTCCTCGACTGCTTTCCCGGGCCACAGGCAGGGAGCTGGAAGGGAAGCGGGGCTGCCGGGATTAGAACCGGCGCCCATATGGGATCCCGGGCGTGCAAGGCGAGGACTTAACCACTTGCGCCACCGCGCCGGGCCCAGAATAAATCTCTTTTAAAAAGCCTAAGAAAGATTAATCAGTTTCAATGTCATTATCATCATCATTATCATGGTGCTGGGTCTGAGACTCGATCTTCTCTCTTGAGAAATGGGGTCGAGTTACTGCTGCTTGGCCTCAGTCTTATAAACCACCTTTCTGCCCATCTGGGACCAGTTCCTCCTGGTGCTTCCTATTTTCAAGCGGAAGGGCAACTCATCCAGTATGTAGGTACTTCACATTATTTTAAGTAAGATTATATTAGTATTATTATCCTAATAAAAGTGCATCTCCATTAGTGATCTTGTTTATTTACTAATGCTCAGTGTAATTATTTATCTTCTTACTTTTATGAAACTAGCCAATCTTTGGGAGGATATCTGTACATTGAGAATAACGTTGAAATTTTAAGTGGGATCTCACTATCAATATGTGGACAAAAGCCATGGGGATCTTAGCTCTGTTTAAATGATTTTTTTTTCATGCTGTGTGCAGGGTGGTACAAATGAACAAGCAATGTTAATTAAACAAATCCATCTGTCCCAGTTCTGCATCCCTAAAACCTTTTCCACATTCATTTATACTTTCAGTTTACCTTTAAAAGGTTGAAAGAAATGTTTACTTCTACTTTATCATGTTTTAAAGGATTTACTCTTCAAAAGACAGAGTCACAGAGAATGAGAAGAAAGGGAGACTATCTTCCACCTGCTGGTTCACTCTCCAAATGATTGCAATGACTGGGGCTGTGCCAGGCTGAAGGTGGAGCCTGGAACTCTATTCAGGTTTCCTGGCACTTGGGCTATGTTCTGCTCCATTCCTAGGTGCATTAATAGGGAACTGGGTAGGAAGTGGAGCAGCTGGAACTCAAATCAGTGCTCGTATAGGATGCTGGCATTGCAGGTGGCAGCTTAGCCTATTGTACCACAGTACTTACCCCTGAAGTACTTAATTCTGACTCAAATTTAAGCTTCTTTCCCTGTTCTTGGGAATTGATAGCCAGAAGATGGAGGAGCAGGATACACTCAATGGTTTACTTACTTCCTGCCACTGAGAAAGCACCTTAGAAATATGGTGGGCAAAACAGATGTGAGGTGCCTGCACTAAGAAGCGCCTGGACAAAGGTGGGCTTGCAGGTAGCTGTGGAGGCTTCCCCGTCTCCCCCGGTCACATTTTGGTTATCAAGCTGATAGGAAAACTTTAAATTGTAAGCATCTTGGCCATGAGGCAAATGGTGCATATGGGAGTCAGGAAACTTGGAATCTAATTTCAGTTCTGCCATTATCACGCTAATTAAAATTCCTTACATTTTGCCTCAGATTGTTCCATCTGAGACAGGCTGCAGGGTGGGATTGGTGTGAGTTCTCTGGCAGGCAACCATTGGTTTCTCAATCCTGGCCTCATTGTGGCATCTCCCGGGGAACCTTACAACAGGGACAAGGAGCTCCAGTCCAACTGTCAAGTAACAGGTTTGGGAAAGGGCAAATTTGACTTCAGGGTGAAGAAGCTGGAAAGACCTGGTGACCTGTTTTTGATCTCTGAAAACCAAAAATCTGAACACATAATCCATTGATTTTTCTCACAGTGACCTAGCATAGAAGTCACCTTTTTGGTGAAGACAATGTGTACTCTAAAATCCTGCTTTTTATGTTACCTGAGGTGCAGGACCACCTCTCCCGTTTTTCTTGTTTTCAATCCATGGTGGGCTAATAATTAAAAATTATATATAATTATAATAATTATAAATTACAATCAAAGACGAATGAAGACAACAAATGTATAAAATAGAAAGTGTAATGTATGGTTGCTGTTATGTTTAAGTGTTATAAAAGCAATGAATCTCAACTGAACTTGAACTATGGTTATGCAACAAGGTGGAGGAATCCACCATGGGGGGAGGGGTATGGGAGGGGTGGGGGGGATCCCCAGCGCCTATAAAACTGTACTACATAATATAATGTAAGCAACAATAAAAAAAAAGTGTTATAAAATTATTGTTAAACAATTCTAATTCTTTCTTCTCCATTTTGGTACCTTCCTCAGCAATGACAACTCACACCATCCTCAGGAGTATTTGCACAGTTCTGGCTAAAATGCTGCCTCTGTTACGGCATGCCTGGGCTCTCTGAAGGGCAAACAGGCAGCTCTGGGATCAGAGAGGAGGTATTGTCTCAGCTGTGCAGGAAGCAAGAACAGCTACGTTTTGAAAGTCCCTGCACTTTCCTGATTTCCATCCTAGTCATCTTGTTTGTCTGTGGCATCTGTTCACCTGCACAGCAGGAATCTGGGGCTCTGGGCTGAAATGAGGCACTGATCCTACTAAAATGTCATTTTAGAAAATTATTATTATTTGAAAAGCAGAAATCCAAAGAGAGAGAGAGACAGAGAGAAAGAGAGAGAAATCTTCCAATAGGTGGTTCACTTCCCAAATGACTCAAAGGACCAGGGCTGGAAGTGGGTTAAACCAGGGGTCTGGAACTCACTGCACGTGTCTCACATGGGTGGCAGAGATCTAAGAACATGAGCCACTACCTGCTGCTTCCTCAGGTGTGCATCACTAGGAAACTAGGATGGGAAGCAGAGCCATGACTTCAATCTAGATATTCCAATGGGGCATGCAGCTGTCCCAAGAGCAACCGTACCACTGTGCTAAATGTCTGCTGCCCGCCAGCTGCCAATTTCTGAGGGATAGAAATAACTTCCCCCTGGTTTAAGATTTGGCCCAATGGAATGGAGGAAAAGGAAACACTTAAGTCAGATGAAATCTTGTGAAAGATGTCCTAATAGGCCATTTGCTCTGAGAATACGACTTTGATTTTCTACAATATATGCCTAGATTTGCATCTCAAAATCCTGTCTCCAGGATTACTGGACTATAGTCTTGGCCCATGACTCAGCTGAATGCTGACTACATAATTCTTAACTACTTGAAGCATTTCATTAAACATGTGTTGCTGTATAAATACTGATATAACTCCTGCTTAATATTCTTTGTCAAACTGTCTCATCAACTGTTTTTTCCTAGCTCAAAATGAGCTGTTCGCCCTGTGCCATCAAACAATCCTGTTTCATCAGAGCTTTGATTTTAGTTTGCTATGGGTCAGTAGTAGATAAAATAATGTTGCTAAAAAAAACCACAGGACATGTTCTACCTGTTTTTCTTTCCTCCCATCTGTTCAATTCTTTTGAAAAGACAGAGTTAGAGAGGGGAGGAGAGATAGACACAATCTTTAATTTGTTGCTTCACTTCCCAAATGGCCTTATCAGCTGGAGCTGGGCCAGATTGAAGCTAGGAGCCAGAAGCTTCCTTTGAGTATCCCACAGATGCTCAGGGGCCCAAGCACTTGGGCACTTCTCTGCCACTTCCTCAAGCATATTAGTAGGGTGCCAGATCAGAAAAGGAGCAGCTGGGACTCGAAATAGTGCCCATATGGGATGCTAGGATTGTAGGTGAAAACTTATCCACTTATCCTGCTATGCCACATTGCCAGCCTCCTATCTGTTCAATTTCCTCTTGAATAATGTCATGATTTTGTTTTTTATTTAGAAATTGTTGTCTTTTTTGGCCTGGCACTATAGCCTAGTGGCCAAACTTCTTGCCTTGCATGCACCATATGGGCGCTAGTTTGTATCCCTCAGCTCCAGTTCCCATCTAGCTCCCTATTTGCGGCCTGGAAAAGCAGTTGAGGACAGCCCAAAGCCTTGGGACCCTGCACTCACATGGGAGAACTGGAAGAAGCTTCTGGCTCCTGGCTCCTGTTTTTGGATCAGTTCAGCTCCAGCCCTTGTGGTCACTTGGGAAGTGAACCAGTGGATGGAAGATCTTTCTCTCTGTCTCTCCTCTCTGTAAACTTGCTTTTCTTTCTTTCTTTTTTTTTTTTTTTATTGTAAAGGCAGATATACAGAGAGCAGGAGAGACAGAGAGGAAGATTCACTCCCCAGGCCGCCGCAACGGCTGGAGCTGAGCCAATCCAAAGCCAGGTCTCCCATGTGGGTCTCCCATGCGGCTGCAGGGTCCCAAAGCCTTGGGCCATCCTAGACTGATTTCCCAGGCCACAGGCAGGAGCTGGATGGGAAGTAGGGCTGCCGGGACTAGAACCGGCGCCCATATGGGATCCCAGGCGTGCAAGGAGAGGACCTTAACCACTGCGCCACTGCACTGGGCCCTAAACTTGCTTTTCTAATAAAAATGAATAAATCTTAAAAAAAGAAACTGTCATCTTAAAAAAAAAACACTATGCAGCAAGTTTGCCTAATAAATATATACTTAACAACAGAAAAACATAATGAATGGATAAAGATTTTATAAAGCTATATTATTTTCCTTTTTGTTAAGTAAAAGAATATTGCACACTGTGCCTAAGTCTATAAATACATCTATGTCTAAAAGTCTTAGGTTATGTAAGTAAAGTTACCCTGGATCAGTTTTACCTGAAGTCATGTCTCCTCATTATCACAGTGTAGACCCTCATGCGACATCCTACTGTGGGGCTGATCACTAGGTGCATGAATCAAGGGCACAGTAGATGTGTAGAACTTTCAGAATTGCACAGCTGCTCACCTAAACTGTCACGCGCAGCCCAGAATAAAAACACAGCGCTTTTACTTTCATAAGCCCCACAAGTGGAACATGTCTCAAAATACAGCCTCCTGCCTTCCTTTCCTCTCATATCCACTTGTACAGTCTCATGATTCACTTCCCAAGTTCATTTCCATAATCCAAATATTTCTACTTTGTGTGCCTCTCTTTGCCTCAAATTCTACAGACCTAAAATACAACCAATCCATGTCTGAATCTTGGACTTGGATGAGATCCCAGGGGACAGCCCATCTTGCTGGCAATGACTGTCTGAATAGCTTCCACCCAGCATCAGAGAAGGAAGGTTCTCTGGAAGGAAGGTTCTTTTTGCCTTCCAGGGTTCCAGCCCTAAGGAACTCCCCTTGCCCTAGCACAGCCACCTGGAGTGCCCCGCTCCCAACACCAATTCTATGTCCAGGTTTTCCTAGCCTGGAAGAAGTAGGAACTTTCCAGATCCTAAGTTCCTATAAGTCAGCACTTATAGTCAGCATTTCATTACTCCTCAAGCCCTTCCTGTCTAGTCAAGTATGGGATGGGTCAAGCTCAGTGTAGTTTTGTTTTTTTGTTAATTGATTTTTATTTGAAAGGCAGATCAGATTTGTAGAGAGAAGGAGAGATAGAAAGATCTTCCACCAGTGGACTCTGAATAGGTTTCATTGCGGTTGGGATGGTGAGATTGGCAGCAATCCAGAACTGATGAACTATCAAAACTGTTTGAGCAGGACCCTTGGAGCGCGCCTCATGTTGGGGATCAGGGATGGGTGGGAAGTTGGGTGGGGCTTTTCCCTTTGCTTCTCCCCTAACCCCAGATACAGGGCAAAATGATGATATTAGTGTGGAAACAATGACCACTTTCACCCTGCAGCCCTCGACCCTTTGTACCCTAATCAACTAAGATTATTAAAAGAAATTAACGGAAAAAAAGAAGAAGGATCTTCCATCTGCTAGTACACTCTCCAAGGGGCCACAACAGCCACAGCTGAGCTGATCTGAAGCCAGGAGCTTCTTCCAGGTGCGGGGTCCCAAGGCTTTGGGCCATCCTCTTTTGCTTTTTCAGGCCATAAGCAGGGAGCTGGATGTGACAGGAGCTGGAGCTCATATGGGATCCTGTTGTTTGCGTGGTAGGGATTCAGCCATTGATCCCTCATGCTGGGCCCTCAGTGCAGTTTTAATCAGTCCCCTCTCATAGCCCCATAATTCCCAGAACATAATTAATTGCTAATTTTTGATGTTTTAAATTTCTCCAGGGTTCAACCTCTGACAATGAACTTGTATTTCACGTGAGGTTTTTGACCAAATAGCCACATGAGAATTGTCATGTTTGTCATAAATTAGAAATGAACTCTGGTTCATGAGCAGATGAAGTGATAATTGTACAGATTAGACACCATTTCTCGACTCCTGCTGAGAAAAGAGTGCTGTGTGCAGTGGGGAATGGCATTTCAGAGATGTGTCTGCAAGGTCTACATAGTTCACAGGAGACAGCTCATTCTTTGAATTTTCTCTATTTTTGGGGGGTGTTTTCCTTTATTATGTAGTCCCAGTGTATGTTTCCCTAAAAAACAAACAAAATCCCATACCAAGCAGCAATGGAATCTGCTTGTCCTGTTACGCAGCAATGCTCAACTTTCAGGAACGATGCAAAATTGCAGCTCTGGCAGCCAATTTCATTTGCTTCATTTCCAGATGATTTCAATAAAATGGACAGAATTAGCAATTCTGTGTGTCACATAGGAACTCTGCCAGGAGTGTAGTTATGTGTTGGTGGTTGAGGCCCAGATTCCTTTCTGATATCAAGTGCAGTATTAGAAGAAAATGGCTTAGAGATGAGTACATCTCTCTTGCTAGACTAAGTTTACAAAAGTTGTGTTGTCACAGCAGAACCTGCTCCAAACAGGATGACTCATGCAGTCACTGAGTTTAGAGGCTGGACAACAGGTACCCACGGAAGGTTGCAAATTCCCCCCACTTCTCATACCTGGTCACACACATTAAGTTACCTGAGGACTGCTACTTCTTGCCAGATTCAGTGTGGTAGAAGCAAATATAAAGGATAAGGAAGATTACCCTTTGTTATTTGGATCTTTCAAAACAAGGAACTTTTGAAACAGTTGAAAACAGGAACTCAAACAATTACATGCAAACACATCTTCCTAGCCAACTGTTCTCCACACTCAAAAGGCAGAGTACAGGTGTCCATTCATCCGTTCATGACATGTAGACAAGGGGATTCGGTTATAAGAGGCCATGACACCAGGTACATGAACCCCACCAACAGAGTGCCAAGTGCAAGAAGCTGGGCTTAAAACATCACAGATCTTTTATTTACAGGAATTATCAAGAACACAGAAATCTGTAGACATAGGCAGTTCTGCAGTTGCTAGGGCCTGAGGAGCGGGGTAAGGGAAGACGGCTTACAATGTAAAGGGCTCTCCTCTAGAGTGATGGCAGTGTACCATGACAGCCTAGACACAGGGTTTTGCAGCACTGCAATTGTACTAAATGCCACTGAATTGTTCACCTTAAAACAATTTAAAAAAAAGAATCAAAACAATAACTTCAAGTCTTGAGACCAGATTCCTGCTCCTAGCATCCTTCCTGCCCCATTCTGTTCCACTTACCTTGCACACCATGGATGTCTTTGCCCCAAGTCTAGCGGCTTGGACACACTGGTTGGCACCTTTCCCCCCAAAGCCGATGAAAAACTTGTGTCCGTGGATGGTTTCTCCAATTTTTGGCAAACGAGAAGTAACACTGTTACAATTGAAAAAAAAAAAAAAAGAGCACTGGTAACTCGAATCAATCTAAGTTCTTTAGAAGAGAAGTCTGACACAGCTCTGCCTCGTCCTGGCAATCAGATCTATGAACAGTAGTGCAGAAGCCGACCTTCCCATGGAGGCCACCTGTATGAACTTGCGCATGAATCAACACTGCATCTCCTCAGGGGTAGACACTTGCCTCAGTGGTTAAGATGTTGGCATTCCAGAATTGAGGGCCGGGACTTGATAACTGCCCATGGCTCCTACACTGCACATGCTGGGAGGCAGCAGTCATAGTTCCAGCACCTGGGCCCTTGCCACATGCGAGGGAGACCAGGGCTATTTCCCCTTCCCTCATGACTCAAGGCTGTAGGTCTACTTCAGAGGAGAGTTCCTGGTCTCTGAATCGCATCTGGGTTATTCCTGGGTACTTATATTTCATGCTCCCTTCCCCAGTGGCCAGAACAATGGGATCTAGGAAGTGGGTGAAAGTGGTGTGTCTGTCATTTTAACAAGAACATGGGCAGTAGCAGATTCTGGTGATCACATACAGGACCTAGAAGGGAGAGAGCAGGTGTAACTCCAGGTACTAAGGAGGTTTGGGGTGTGTGGCAGGCAGGATCAGGTTTTAGTCCTACTCCATCCTGCACACCACACCATTTCATGTGCTCATTCAGAAAGAACATGTGTATAAAGAGATCCTAATACCCTAAATTTTCAGTTTTTATGATATACATTTCTAGACATAAAAGCAATTAGGAAGTAGCACCATGATTTCATCTTTCCCTAAGCATACATACCAGATTCAATAACCATGAACTCAGAGTCAACTTTGTTCCCTCTGTACCTTCATCAGCTTCTCCAGGAGTTAAGAGATTTTTGTCTTAATGCTGACAGCTCTGAATGAGGCATGAAGCAAAGGACAAAGTGTGATCCTGGGTCTTTCATGACATGAGAGATGGAAGATGTAAAGAAACAGAATCTGTTTTACAATTCTTCTTGTTTTATTTGAAAGGCAGAGACAGAGATAAGAGGGAGAATGTCCTCTTTCTGCTGGCTCACACCTCAAATGCCTGCAACAGCCTGGGCGGGGCCAAGTTCAAACCACAAGTCTAGAACTCAGTCTGGACCTCCCACATGAGGGACAGGGACCCAGTTCCTCAGGCCATCACCCACTGCCCATCAGGGTTGTGTTTGCAACAAGCTGGAAGTGGAAGCAGAGCTGCAGTTCAACTCAGGCATGCTGGCACGGGGATAGGCAGCCCAGGCACTAAGCCAAGTGCCTGCTCCCAGAACCAAAATCTCAGACGGATGGAAGGAAACAACTGGGCTTAAGGTGCAAAAGGAGTTCTGGGTAGAGAGACATGTAGAGAAGACAGGCTTAAGTGACGTAACAACCGGCTTTCAGGCCACAGGTAAGTGAAGCAATCAAAAGCCAGGTGGAGTAGAAGGGAGAGGGGGGACAGGTGTGGCCAGTCAGCCTTAGATAAGAAAGAAGGCCACCCCGAGAGAAACTGGCAATGGTAAACTAAGAACCTAGTATGGGGCTTGGCGTGGTAGCCTAGCGGCTAAAGTCCTCTCCTTGCACGCATCAGGATCTCATGTGGGTGCTGGTTTGTGTCCCGGCAGGCCCCATTTCCCATCAAGCTCCCTGCTTGTGGCCTGGAAAAGCAGTCAAGGACAGCTCAAAGCTTTGGGACTCTGCACACATGTGGGAGATCTCGAAGGGGCTCCTGGCTTTGGATTGGCACAGCTCCAGCCAATGCAGCCACTTGGAGAGTGAATCGGGATTCCTCTCAGTGTCTCCTCCTCCCTGTGTATCTGACTTTCCAATGAAAATAAATCTTTTTAAAAATTCATACTATATCGCCACTGAGGCTGCAATCTATTTGATACCAATATCTTGGAGTAACAGAATGATGCCAGTTCCTACAGATCACTATCGGCCATTTGCCTGACACATGACCCATGCCAAGAACACATCACCCTCTCAATGAGACCAAATTCTACTTGTGAACCCCCTGTATGCAGTTCTGAAAGAGACAATAAACTGGGCTGAACTACCCCATTCCCTAGCAGTGCACTGTCAAATATGGTTATTTGACATTCAAAAGAGACTCATCAATAATGTGAAAACATTCCACTCCTCCCCTTTTCAATTCTATTTTTATCACGGATTCTAAATGCATTTATAGTACTGATGAAAAAAATATACATCTAGAAGGTTCACTTCTGAAAAAGGTGCTCAATCAAGAGAAAAATGGTTTTAATGTAATGTTATTATCCTGTCATTTAATTTAGTAATGACAAGTGATGATGAGATTTTGATTTGCATCAGAAATCTTAAACATTTTAGGATTCTGTTATGAACAGGCAATGATGAGTAATCTGTGTGATTGAGTAACTATGTGAATTCTTGGCTTATTGATGCCACTACTAACAACACTCATAACCTTAAAAAGGAAAAAATAATCCAGTATGGCTAAAAACAGACCAAATAAGTTAATTAGTAAGACTGTCACCAAAAAACTTATGACTTCCATTATTTTTAAATTTAAATCTGGGTCACAATTCACTGGTTTGAATCAAGTTTACTTTTTATTACCAACATGGGGAATCATGAAAAATATGTCACCAGTTTATTACTGTGTGTATGTATGTAGGGGAAGGGAGGAATCAGAGTTACACAATGTGTATGTGTGTGTGTGCACAAGCAGATGGCTGGGATCTCAACTCATTTCTAAATAATGTGCATGAACACAAGCACTGTATTCATTCAGTGATCCCTGGCATTGGTTAGCCTTTTGTATTTTTCTCTTTCCTTTCTGCATCTTTTCTCCAGTCTCTTTTCTTCCCTTGGCTCTAGAACTGCTCCGCATGAGACTAGAGGGCAGGTGTACTATGTTCTCCATTCTGAAGCTCACACATGCCGACAGAATGTATCCATTCCTGCCTCTGCAGGGAGCATGTGGGGATGTCAACAGGGCCATGGCTGGGATGACTGTGCTGCTGTCTGGTCTGACCAGATCTTGCCCACTGCATTCCCAGTATTGGCAGCATTCCTTTTCCATAAGCAAGAATGGTAACAATGAGTATAAATCATAGCACCATTCCTTCATTCACATATTAATTCAACAAATGTTGATTCAGGATTTCCCAATACTCCTCCTACAGGACAAAATCAACTTCCTGACAATGGGATAAAACCCAGCCCTAACAAAATTAAGAGATGAATGGAAAAAGAAACGCAACAGAATCACAATATGATTCATGGCTTTTAAGAGGACACACGTTTACGTTCTTACATGACAGGCAAATGCAAAGAAAGTAATGCTAGCAGGTATACAGCTGGAAGTGCAGGGAGTTGAACTGCATGTTTTGCTTTGGATTCTTAAAATGTAAATGTCTATAGCAAGGATACCTGGTGTATTATGGATTATCACTTGTCTTTGCTTCCTACTTTGCATCCTGAGATTATTCTGTAGCCACCGGGGCTTTCTAAGTGCCACCTGGATTCTTGCAGTGCAGCCTAGCAGAGCACCACAGCTGTGTCACTGCAGGGCTCATGGCCGGGCTGGGCGTCTGAGGGGTGTGCTGAGGGCGTGAGCAAACACTGGCCTGCCAGTGTGGCCAGCCTGAGAACGCCAAGCCTTCCTCACAGCCTCTTCCTCCTTCCCTGAATTTCCCTGTTCTTTACTTCCTGGATCACAGGGCTGGACAGAGTTTGTACATGTGAGCCCTTGTCTTATGCTCTGCTTTCGTTGAACCCAGACAAAGAGAGTTTGAGACAGTTAGTGGCTTTTTATTTTCAAAAAAGGAAATAAACTGAAGAGTGGAGAGAGCAACTATAGTTTAGTTTACAAACAGAAAAAAAGCATTTCTGAACCATAAATCCTACTTCATACTTTGAATTAGACTCTCCTTCTTCCTCATTGAAATCATGAAATTCTGTCCAGGTTCAAGACAGGACTTGCAGAAAACTCCATCCTCTGGATGAGAATAATGAGTTTCTGCTCTAATCCAAATATGAGATTAGCTGAGTGCCAAAGACAAAGTCTTCAAAAGAAAAAATGGAATCAGTAGTAGTGGAAATATTCTGAGGCTGACATTTAAAAAATTAAAATATTATAGATTTCCATTTTTAAGTGACACACAAAACTGTACATATTTATGGAGTACCATGAGATGTTTTTATTATACTGTGTATACACTATCTAATATTCAAACCAGGACAAACAATTATCTCCTCAGCCATCTATCATTTATTTATGCTGAAAACATTTAAAACTACTTGTTCTGTTTTTTAAATATTTATTTATTTTTATTGGGAAGGCAGATTTACAGAGAAAAGGAGGGACAGAGACAAAGATCTCCTATCCCCTGGTTCACCCTCTAAGTGGCTACAACAGCTGGAGCCCAGCCGATCCAAAGCCAGGCACCAGCTTTTTCTGGGACTCCCACATGGGTATAGGGTCCCAAGGGCTTGGGACATCCTCCACTGCTTTCTCAGGGTATAAGTAGGGTGCTGGATGGCAAGTAGAACAAGGACACGAATCAGTGCCCGTATGGGATGCTGGTAATTGAAGGTGGAGGATTAGCCACTTCAGCCACAGCGCTGGCTCAAAACTTTCTACTTCTAAGTATAATTTAGTGTCTGTTCATCACCTTTCTGCATCTATTCCTCTCCCCAGATCTTAGTAACTTCTTTAAGATCAACTTTAGATTCCACCTATGAGTGAGATCGTACAGTATTTCTATTTCTGTGTTTGCACATTTCACTTAACATAATGACCTTCAGTTCCATCCATGTTATTGTAAATTTGACAAGATTTCATCCTTTTAAATGACTGGCTAGTATTCCATCATGTATATGTACATATTTCATCATTCATTCTTCAGGTGATGAGTACTTAAGGTGTTTCTGAGCTATCATCAACAGTGCTGCAGTGGACAAGGGGAACAGAGTGATTATATATATACTTTAAATATATACCT